CTTCGATATGAGTTGTCTAAGAGGCACGTGATTAAACGCCTTTTTGCAGTCGAGGAAGATGGCATCAACTGCACGACCCTGGTCGACGGCTTTTGCCAATTTTCCTGCAAGTAAAGACAACTTGTAGGACATGAGTGGTTACGACGAAATCCGTGTGAGTAGCACATATTAGGTTTCCGTGTTCCAGAAACATCACCAGGTCCCGCTTAATCAATCATTGTATTACATGGCACAAAATGTAACCTAAATTAATTTGGCGAAAATTTTTGGATTCGATACTAGACACTCTTTTGGGTATTGAGAAAAAATCCGCCAGTTTCCATTCGTGCTGGAGTTATCCTTCCTCCACGGACTTTTCAAATATCACAGATAACGGATCCTGCAGTAGGTCCGCCAATCCTCAAAAAACAAGTATATGGACGTCATCTGGAACAAATTATTTAACAAACTTCAGTCACGAATTTCTGTTCTTCGTAATGTTAGCAAGAAGTAAAGATTGTCTGATAATGCAAACAATGCGGGAATTTGTTGTTGTCCTTAGTAGAGAAGAGGAGGAATAGTTTTTTTGAGTGAATATCGAATATAGGAATCTGTGGAAGATTAGTGCTTTTAGTCTGGTCAACCGACTCAGCAGCTTCGTTTTAGGACAGCACCGAATACGGGTCACGATTTTTTGCCACTACTAGTGTAACCGGATGGATCTGAAGATGCTCGAAAAGGGTTTTGGAAATTGCCTAGGTCATAGTTTATGCGGACTTTATCGGTATCTATCGTTTGCATTCTTGCGAGTGTTTGGAACTTCATGTTAATCGAAAACGTACACAGCATAATTCTCCTCTTCGGAGCGAATTCACGTTCTTGATTTATTCACGATGGACGTCCGCTTGTTATCTTTCGTCAGAATGAACAACTAATACCTCTGATTATTTTAACTAGCGGGCTTAGCTGGCTCCAATATTCGTTTACTGTTTCCCGCAATTTGTTTGTCTATGGCATGGCTGAGAATTGCATCCGCATGCTATATAAACTCAATTTACAGGTATTTGTTTTCAGTTGTCTAGATCATTCATGTGATGCGAACATGGACTAGTCTAAGAGAATTACATTATGATCACCACCACCAATTTGCGGGAGATCTTGTAGATACAGCACGCTCTTTTCTTGCCAAGTAATTATCAGGTCAAGAAAATTTGAATGTTTATCTTCCCTTACACTTGTTTTAAGAGTTTTGTAACGGTTCTACCCCGGAAGCCTGTATCAACGCTATGTCTCTTACGCGTGTCTGTACGTGCGAACCACAGCTGTCTGGCACTCTCCCGCTCGGCCCTGCAACTGGCTAATCACTTTTAAGACCGAGTCAGACGTGTCCTATCGTAAAACGCCTTGAGACATTTTCCGAGAGAGACGTAGGATGACGCTGGCCTGGCTCTGAACGTCTGACTGCTAACTCTATCCAACCCTTCCATTTATTCCGTACAGAAGATATTATCCTCCCCACTGGCGTCCACCGTCTATTTTCACCCAGGACCGGGCCTGAAGGTCGTGGTAGTAAGGGCATCACTCGCGGCCGAGCCTATTTGCATTAGTTTATTTCCTGCCATTATAAGGAACTGATGACTGAATATATTGCGTAGACAGAAAACAGTCCAAAAGTTTATTGTTAAAGTCTCACAAATAAGGGCATTCGTGTTCGGGTAGGTCATGCTCATTTTCTTTAAGGGTAGGTTATCGTGGTTTTAGAGGATTGCATGCAACTGCAAATGTCAGCGACCGGGTGTATAGTTACGAATACTCATCATACTTTCGTTATTGTGGGGTGTTGCTCATGGGCCGCGGTTAAATTACAATTAGCATAAGCAGCGTCCCATTCTGTCTCTTCGAAACACTTGGTGACCTCCAAGGATTACCTCCTGTTCTCCCAAAGCTTCAGAAAGCCATGTTTATACCAAGGTTATGATAACTGGCATGTACTTGTCAATAAAAACCCCGAATTAATTCACCTTGTTAAACCGGTTCTGAGTACATCAATTTCGGTGGCCGACTAACAGTGGGGAGCATCCCAGATTACAAAATGCGTTGCCTACAGTGACGAAGATCTCGTGCTTAATCTTCCCTTCTTTTACTTTAAATCATTTTCCCTTTCTTCCAAGTTTTCCTTGTTAAAGAGGCGTTGATTGCATAATGGCTTTTGGAGGCTTCTTGGGACTTACAAGCGAAAAACAACATTCGCGTTCACTCGTTAACAGTGGGCTCTCATTAGTAGTCTGTGTGCTAGTGGTATTCCCTCTCTCAGAAGGGTCAGGAGGCCGAATTCCCCCCGCAGATGTTGTTGTGTAACCATCAATAGGATGTTAGAACGGAATCTTGGCAAACACATGTTCGTAACTGATCCGAGGCAGTAAAAGATTGCACTTATCCCTCAATTGAGAGTCCGTTTGGAACCTTTACACACCGATAATTTATTTATACAATACGCTCGAGTAAACACAACCAACCCAAACATTCATGCCTATTGTCTTATCTTATTTTGCACTAAAACGATTTATGCATGTCTCAGGACTTTTCGCTCAATCAACTAAGCTGTTCTAAACTGTGCAGTTGCCTTACTATGCGCGCCCTTCAGAACCCTACATAACGTAAACTCTAGTAATTATTAACAGAGACATAATTCAGGCTTCCGTTTTTAGAACGTATGGATCGAAGGCCTACATCACAAATGCCTGAATGATCCTTCTTTATATGCATAACTCTTAACCTTGAGCCGCAATGACAGCATAACGCGGCGCTCATTTTAGACAGTCTGTCTGTTCTACAAATGTCTTCTCTTATGTATTCGCCTTTTGACACACAAAACAAGTAGTCTAGTTATTGGTTGGTTGATAATGATGTGGCATCTTATTTGGGCTACATGTTTCGAAAGAAGTGCATGTTAAACCTAAAGGCTCCGGATGCGGATAGCCAGAGAAAATATTGTTCGGTACGAAAATGTTGGCGAGTCGGGATTTCGATGGTTTCAGTTCTAAAGATCGGGACAGTTATCATTGCTTGAACTAAACCGCATAGTATACTTATTGACTATTATTCCGATATAAGGGTATGAACTGACAAACTTAAGTTTGTCGGGGTTTACGTAAACCCTGTCAAGATGCCTCAGTATATTATAGTTAACATTTTAAAGCATATTTTAAAGTGTGCTGAGGTGATATGGCACCTAAAATCTAAGAATAAAGCTACTTATAATCACGAGCAAATCTCAATCGAGGTCTGGAATTAGATCTGATCCGCATGTATTAATACGTAATATGAATTCATCCTATTTAAAAGCAGTGTAATTTCAAAGGGCATAGTTGAGAAACCTAAAACACTAGGTTATTATACTGAAATAAAACGCACATATGACGCATATCTGCATACAACTCCTAGATTATTTAGGGCATTTTTAATTCCGGTGGTTGGTTTAACCTCGACGACGAAAGGAGAACGAATGGATTCTCAACATCCATAACAAGTCTTTTATTATGCTCACTTCAGTTACAGCATAACGCTTCAAGGAGTTCTGTAATACTTGTTCCACATGCTTTCTTACATAAGTAGATAAAAAGCAGAGTAAAAAGTTTAACCTGCATGTAAACATTCACTGAAACATTGAACTTGGTATTCAGTTAACAAACCGGCTTCCAATTTGCAGAATATAAATACATTTTTAATAGATTATATAAGACAATAAGGACGTGACAGACATAAAATCAGCTTTGCACGATGTATCGCTTTGTCACACCAGGCAAAACGGTGGACAAATCACGTTCAGCAACGTCCTGATCAGTTGGTCCAAGTACGTTATTATCACCCAAAACATACAGATATAAAAAAATTCGTTTCCACGATTAAAAATAGCCTTGAAATTGTGGCCATGAACACAGCTGTCCACGTTTGGCAGGATAGCATCCTGCCGAAGTGATCAGCATGCAAATGACGCCGTTTGCGACTGTCATCGGATAAATATGCAATAATTCGGGTTCTCTCAGTCAGGTCAATATTAATGTCATTGAAACTTTCACCTTGCAGGAAACATTAATAATGATATCGGATACGTTTAATGCCATGTAGTTTGTCTATCACAAATCAACGCCTGCGAAAATGTGAAGGTTTGCGTATTCTTTTCCTGGCTTTCGATAGTTGTCTTAAATTTTAACTAATTCTGGGGAACATCTATCATTTTAGTAGCATTTCTGATTCCAAGGTAACCGCAAGGTTCAAAGAAGTGAGAGTAGTTTGTTCTGTTAAGCTATTCCCATGAATATCTAAATAAAACTTACGATAATGCGTATTATGGCGTTGTTTAATGTTTCTATGTCCATCTAAGAGAGGTTTACATCTACCTTTAAATTAAAGTACTATTTTATAGATGCAGATGCAAAACGCGGAGGAAATAAAAGCCCTACAGTTAAAGGCTCTGGAATATTACGCCACGAATGGCATCATAAAGGTCATGGAGAATATTCTAAACGAGATCTTTTCTGTGCAACCGCAGGATATATATTCCTTCCTTGTATTATATTGTTCGTACTAATAATTACAGAGTAGCAAATTCAGACGAAGAACTAACATTCCGCTTCCGCTTTACTTTCGATTTTCAACTGGTCTCAGACGAGACGTATGCATAACTTCTCTAATTGCCACGTGGAAAAACACACAACAGGTAAGATTATTCGTTGACTACGTTGGACAAACAAGCCTATCGGGAGCCATAAATATTTAAATAGTTGTATTAACGGATTTACGGTCGATGAGTGCTCTTGGACTAATTTAAGAGATGCAGTTTCGGAACTCTTCTGCAATCTTGAGTTTGCAGTTCGTTCTCAATTTACACTGGACAATTGGATAAGGTTAGTCCATAAACCATTGTGTCTCATAACTTTTAAAGAGATAAATATGAGAAATTGCTCTTGGAAATGAGCAGCACTATAGGAGGAATGATCTGCAGGGGACAGACTGTAGAAATGCCTATTCAGAAGCCAATCAAGACGAAGTAAGATTTTTTTTCGAACTTTATCTTAAATGCACAATTTGCTAGAACACAACTATTTACCATTAACTCTTAATGAATCCTGTAGCTTCACGGTTTGTGAATCATATTCAGTTAGTGGTTTTTCTGTTTCTCCTTAATTCTTTTAAACAATAACTTCAAATACTACCAGGATACCTGGCCATTTCTTCAAGACCATTAACTTTGGTGACATGCTTCCATCGCCATCATGTTAATGAAAGTGCTGTTTCAAGGTTGATTACTGCGATTTGGATAAAGTATAAATTGCCGTTTCTTTCTTTGTTTAGTCAGAAGATTCTATGCAAGACTCCAGATCTCACCTACGCACAGGCGATTTGCCTAAATTAAAGAAGACAACGTCTAGCGGGCAGCAAAACACTTATACTCTTTGTTTCCCCTTTGTCACAGAGAGTAACCAAAAATCAAACTGAAGTAATGCAAATCTTCTTGTGAGATGTGAACCCCTTTAATTAAGCTCGAAAATGAGAGGTCATTGAAGTCGCAATCGCTTGCATAATGTTATCACCATGATCTATTTTTTACCAACACTTTACATAGTCTACGCTTATCATTTTGCAAGACGTGAATCACAATGCGCTTATAATTAACGATATATCTCAAGTTCACACAATAACTTTAAAACAGTTGGTGTTAATCGTTCTCTATTTACAGAAAATCCTCTGACCAGGTCCTGGCTATTCCAAGTTCTATCATACTGGGAGCGCTGAAAGAGGCAATAATTCTATCCTCAATTTCTATCACTTGGCCCCTTGCAATTGCGCAATCCCGACTCCTGCCCGCGGATTATGAAAGCCACTGTCCAGCCTATGAGGTGTTCGCAGAGATTACCAAACATGTACGTTGACGAACGGATAAGTGTCTCCAGTCAATCTCCTATGCGTTGTTGTTCAGGTTTAGTCAGTTTCAGAAAATCTGGGGACAAGGTACACGATTTTAGGCTAGGCAGTACTGCTGACGAAAACGCTGAAAACTGGAGGAAATAAGTGTGCTCTGTTTAACTCTAGCAGTCTATCGTAAACCCAGAGCACATCAGATAGACACAAGTCTCAGATGCGGAGAAGCCAGTCATTGACTTTTTTGCTGTCGTGCTTGCAAAAGCAAGCAATACTTAAAGCAACATGCGATTGCATGTCAAAGGGCAAGTGTAATTCTTTATTATGAAGCTCGATTCAGAAACGCTTATGGATATTTGTGTAGAGATCAGAGAATTCTTCCCAGAAACTTGAGATTACGCATCCGTCGTAGTAGTCATTCGAACAGTGGATCACTGGCTTACATCGTGGAAACGGTGAAAAGTGTGGCATTATGTACTTCAGACTCATCCAAAGGTGTTGTCTGATAATGACAGTCGCCCCATTTCTTATTCGGTAGATGTACGGTTAAATGTTTTGAATCTGAAAGTGGCGTTGGATCACAGATCTGTCAAATAAAAGAATGGTTTTAGTATTCCTTGTTGAGCAACTCCGCAAAGGCAGCTGACGTCGATTGCAATACATCAGTCAGTCAGCCACTTAAGATGCATAAGCGTTTACCGGTGGTATAGGATGCTGGGAAGAAATTGGATTTAGGAGGTCTTAAGTGAACAGATGCAGTTTCGTTGGGTTGAAGCCATTTTAACCTCACATATCTAATTGTTGTAGACACCATGCTATTGAAGGAAAAAAACTTAATGGGTCATTGCAAAAGTGTTTACTCAAGCTTGAAACGTCATTTGTGTTCTCTAATGTTCACTAGGCGTCTTTGTTGTAAGTTTTTCATTGGTTTTTATATATATTTTTTTAGTGCACGCAGGATATATGCGAAAGAGAAGCCAACAATCTACCAACACCAATAATTACAGTATTTTCTGGGGCCGAAAATACCGCATTTGGTGGAAAGTGCCATTTTATCAAGGCGTTGTTCTTAATTCCCTCGGGACAAGTCTCGACGACCGAGGTTAGTTGGCGAGAGGAATAAAAAACGGGGTACTATTTAGGGATACTTAAGCAGTAGTCACTCATATTTCGTTTGTTCCAGTCAGATGAAAGCACTAGTTGTGTAATTTGCACTCAAATGGACGAAATCAGCTTAGAAACCCTACCGTAAAGGTCACAAGCCGTATCCATATTTTATTCATTTGTAGCAGAATAAATCCTTTAGCGTTACATGAAGCTTAGTGCAAGCAATACTTCAATATTTTTTACTCAAACAACATGTTCTGTTTTTTTTTAACACCATCAGGCGGTTTATCATTGGTGTGATTCCTCTGACCTTCTTTTCTTACGTAGGGTCATTAAAAAGACCCAGTTAGTATGATCCATCAGTTAGATTTAGTTTACTAAAGGCATACATCTAATCTAGTTTCTTGAGTGGTTGGAGAAGCTGGATCCAATGTCGATTATCAGCACGGCACCACAAAATATGGTACGTCTGACCTTTACTTAAAGATTGTAAGTGCATGTTTTCCATGCATTGTTTTCGTGACAGTCAAAATGTAAAACATTTTGTTCAGAATATTCGCCAGCATCCTCAAAATCAAAAAGCCGTTTTTGAACGCCAACTAAATTAAACTAATACTACCAAAGTGCGTAAGGACAGGGCTCTTTGAAATGGCGACTTAGCAAGTTTCTTTAAAGGTTATGTTAATGAGCATGTATGACATTTATGCGGCAAGCCAGTAGTTCAGCAGATCTTCATGCTTGTGTCGTTTGTAATTTATTAACCTTCTCTAGCCCCGACAAAAGCATCATCCAGTCTATTTTAATCTCTCATTCTATGGGCAAAACGAGGGCATGTCTATTATTCTCACAGTCGGCGTAATTATGTTTTATAACTGACAGTTCTTATTCGACGATGTCCACCATGCGCTATAGAGCATGGCGAGAGCGAAAAACGGTGATTCGAGCGTGAATTCCTTGAGATTGCAGCGCACGGATCGTACTCTATTTTCCACCTGATGTCATGACAGAGTCAAGAAGACCGGAGGTGGGTGAGGGCGCAGGTGGTTGACATGACAAAAACCCGCACTTCTGAGTATCACTACACCCCCTGGTCCACAACGTGGACTGAGTAGGATTTTGTACGACAAGAAAAAGGAAATGTGGTTCGGACCCCGAATGGTGCCTTCTGCCATACCCGCAATGTTGGCATGGGAGGGGAGGGGAGAGTGAAACACCATAATTCCAGTCAGCGCCAGGGAGAAGGTGGGTCTCGGCAAAGGTGGTTACATGCGGGTGGCTGGTTTGGTGGCCTGAAGGCGGCCGCAATCAGGCTACGCAGGCCGGTCCTATGCGCACAGAGGAACTTCATACAGGTCCCACAGTTGCCATGGCTCAAAGCCACCAAGCCAGCCACCCGCAGGTAATTACCTTCGCCAGGACCCACCTTCTCCACTGGCGATGACTGTAACTGTAATTTAACTCTTTCCCTCCCCTCCCCAAACCCGAGGTGCAGCTTAATTATCTATTTGCCCGTATCTTTTAATTCATTAATTAAATAGCCATATAAATGCACAGGCCTGAAGAGAATTGATCGAAAACAGACTTATGCTCGCCAAGTTGCGTTTTGAATTCCCAATAACGCCATCCAGACCCTAAAATGGCTCCATTGTTGGTGCAGTGTCGAGTGTTCTGTTTTAGGAACAAGTGTGCTCCAGAGTTTACTTGACAGACTACGCGTTATGTAATAAGGACTTTGACAGTTCCATCCCGTCTTGTTTTGAACTGCTCGATCCAATAATCCATCCTAAGGAATGCTACATTGATAAAAACACAAACCCATGCAGGTGTGGTTTCTGCCTTTATGAAACGTTTTAGAAAATGCTCAGTGGGTTACCTAAATCATAAAATATATCGAAATTTACGAATGATTGCTATTCCCTTCCAAACCGCCAAACTAGATAGGTGATGCACAGTAGGTTCTAACCCTATTCCCGCTTTAGGCCCATTTGCTTCAAAGGCTATTACTAAGAAGGTGAACAAATTATTTCTGTAATGAGACCAGTTAGAGCACTTGAGAGAATTCACTACGTCCCTGATACGAGGCAACTTCTCGGAACGAAATTCAGTAAAATGTTTTAATTTGATTGGGTGGACAGAATAGACAAAAATTAAGTAATGACTACGGACAAAACAGATCGAAAAAATGGCTTTTGCCTCGTAAGGGAAAAGCGTCTAACCTGTTTTTCAAAATTAGTGGAGGCGTTTGTAAAATTAATAAACTAGATGGGTTTCAGTAAATCCTAGATTATATAATTCATTACTTCTGCATGTTTTAAAATCGCTAACATAGTTGAGGAGATAATGTGCAGCTGTCGTAAGTTGTAAAGTACTCGATATTTTTTGCTCTCGTTATTAGGCGTCCCAAGTAACAATTGTTGTATAGTTGTCAGAAACTGCTCATGTAAAATGTGTCCTAATTAACGCATGTATGTTTATCAGTGTCCTGAAGAGTTAGTATGCGATGCCTTCGTGAGCAAACACACTTCGTTCGGTGCGCCTGTAGAAGACAGTGTCGGTTCAAAGTTAGCGCCAGCTGCCTAGATGTTCTACTGGAGTAAGCAAATACGTATTTTAATTGGTTCGGATTAGAGAAACAAAAGGATGGTCACCCGGGCAGCGCATTTAAACCAGATGCCCATTGTGCAGTGAGATCCTTTTTAATTGTTTCCGAATTTACACCATACAGGCGACTCCTAAAGTTAACAATGGGTTCGTTTGTCTCTTATGTCACCGCTATTACGCTTTTAACGAAAAGGCGTGTTCGTTGCATGTACCATTGTCAAACGCCCTCAATTGACAGCTGCCTAACCTGACCTATTGCAGGATCATCCTGTAAGTACCAAACTACCAAGTATCTGCAGCGACGTAGGAAGCAGTTACCAGTCTCGCCAGCTTTCTGCCGTTTTCACATCAAGAAGCATGTGCTGTCACTCCGGTTGACAGTTAGCCGATCACGGTGGGGGAAAATGGCAATCAGTTCATAACATATATTGCTATGGGGCGGTCCAGTAGCTGATGATAACTGTGCACGAATAAAACAGTTATTTTTAAAACCAATTGCTTGCGAAGACCACAGTAACAGCCTATTATTTAGTATCTGCAACAGGTTTATCAGTAGACAAGAGAAAACACAAAACAGGGTAGAGGAAAGCATGTAATTGAAAGAAGGTTGGTTAGTGGGCAAATTGCACATATAAAATTACTCACATATAGTGCATTCGGTAATTCGTCACAAAGAATATATGCGGCATTGAATAGCTGAAAAGAGATCTCAGTTGAGTGTTCCAGGTTACGACGAGCACACGACATTTCTGAGAGTTTCCGCGTGTATTTTAGGTACCCGTAATTAAATTTGTATTTATTTTGAATAATTGTCTCTGTTTAATCAATTTATTAACTCCAGTATTCAGGGCCGTTGCTTAATTTTTACAGAGCAGGGTAAATTTGCTATTAAAATATACGCATTTCACACATAACATGATCACCACCTGTCTAAAATGCATTTCAGCGAGCAAAAATATTAGTTACCCAGGCTGGAAATATGACCTTTCCGTTTGACAAGCCAGAACAGGTTATTGACTTCTTCGTGGGTTATCTGAAAGACTGTGGACTGGAATCTGCTTTTACGTTTGGATTGCAAATCGAACCGTACGCTATATATGATGAGGTAATTTCACACCTGCTCTTGAAATCAAAACGTCCCGTAAGAACTTTCGACTTTCTAAGCGTAGCGTCAACTCAAACAAATAGATTTTAAATGAATGATTTGGCTGATTCGTTTGTTACATTTAACAGAATATAAAAGTTTAAAGTGACCGTAAGCATCGGTTTTTCACACCTAGTGTCTTTAAGCATACAGCTAGTGACTTTTTGACATTTTAGGCTCGGAACACTTACGATCCAATTTCAGGAATTTATAAATCTCCAACTGACTTTGCGAAGTTTTATGGGGACCTTTCGCAAGCGTATCCACAAATCAGACTCTTTATTGATCCATTCCGCGCAGAGGTAGGACAGCACAAAATATATTTTTCTGCAATAACTGTTTTTTCTATCCATCATATTACACATTCACTGAGCGCTGATAGGTGTGCGTGTATTGATGTTCAGAACGGACGTTAAGGGCAAGGAGCAAAACCGCGCGTCGCTCGTCCTTGAAAATGTGGTTACGTTAATGCTGTATACGTTATTCGATGGTATGATACAGTTTGACCTTCGTAAATTGAAGTTTTCGCAGAACTGGGACGGTGCTACAGTAGCCAAAGCCAGCTGTAGGCTCATTTCAAGCTTGTCAACCTTATAAACTTCGGAGTTTTTTTACTTTCACGGGACACTGCTGCAGCCAGAACACAAAAACCCACAGTTTGAGTAGGTGAAGTCCCTATCCTGCTTCACGACGGTTACGATATAAATGGCAAAGGCATGACATCGAGAAGCTAGTTGTGGTCAAAAGGAAATCAGTATCCAAACTGAGAGGACACGCAGAAGCAACTTGGTCGGCTTTGATTTTACCTAAGTATATGAAACAACATGAACAACAGCTATACAAGGAAGGCACGAGCGCAACTAGCACAATGGTTTATAAACGACGTTGAACATTTGGTCTCTGCGAGTACAGCGCTTGACTGATCGAGGGCAACTTAATATGTCGAGATATAACCGCCGGACCTCAGATAAATGTCTACAGGATTTGATAACGAACAGTTTCAGTAGCCTTAAGTCTGCGCAGTCCTTCAGAAAGCAAGCGAATAAATAGGACACCCATCTCCCCATACATTTCTGCCTGAAGCATTGGCGGGGGGTCAATATTTTTGCGATTAAATGATGCATGGGCAAGCGGGTTAGAAAAATGTAGCAACATTTACGTCGATTGGCTTGTATTCTTTTGACGAGTTTTGAGTTAGTTATAACTTCATGATGGACGGTAGTTCAAATCCTCGAAAAAACTAGTTAAAATTGTCGTAATTTCAGTAATTTAAACCGATTCCATGAGGACGCCGTCAGCTTCAAATGAGCGTGTGGTAGGCTCCAGAGTCTGTGATGTGGCCTCAAAAAACAGATGTTATTCCAATCTTGAATGCTCATACGTATACTTGAGGAAGTTATTTTGATCAGATGTGGTCATGTAGCCGCACCTGATGTAAACAAACCCCAGCCGCGTGTCATACCGGACCATTGGCAATAGGGGTTTTTTCAGATGGGACCGGGAAACACATAAGCGACGAGATCAAGCAGTTGTATGCAAATAAAAGCTAATGCGGATGCAAGGTTGGGTGGTTGAGAAATAGTTGCCGTAACCACTACTCCCTAATAATATTGTGTCTATCAGGTGCGGCTGCATAACAGCATCTTACCAACAATTTTGTTTCAAAATATACTACAAGTCAGAGTAGGACTTTGATTTCTCCTGCTTGCATAATGCGCTGCCCCACCCGTTGTCATTAACAACATTTTAACAGCTAGGTCAGGCGTAGCAGTTAATTAAAAGCATGCACTTTTTTCCATCAAAAACCCACTTATCATTCTGCCCTGATTCCGTGCCTTGGTCCCTGTAGGATGCTGAGGCATGGCATACTTTGGACAACCTACTATCTAGCAGGCAGAGCGGTCGACCCTTTCTCTGCTCAAGCACTACGGCTAGTCGAGTCGCGAAGCCTACCAATTTGGACACAGTACCGGAGGCAGTGCTAGACCAGACCCTTCTCCGTCGAACCACATCGCCTTCTGTGGCCTTCATCAGCAGACTGGCCCGTGGCGAGGAGGTGGAAGTGGCGGCGACGGCGGCGGCGGTGAGAGAAAAGGAGGCTTCCATCGATCCGCCGCCCTCTGAGGTGTCACGCGCCAGGCGGGAGACGAAACAGATGAAGGGCAAGCAGCGAGGGAAGGAGAAGCAGGAAGAGGAGTCTGGCCTGCCTCCACCGCCATCGCCACCGCCGCACAAAGTAGCCACCTGTTGGATGTGGAGCTGCACTATCTCCGTGGACTGTCTTTTAGTCACCGAAATGGCTCAGGCTGTGGCCTATATGCAGAGTAAGCAGATATCACTTGCATCCTTTAACACTATCTGAGAATTTTATGTCAGGATTTGCTGCTGCGAACGTAACCTTCCTAATGGAAGTTCAGCCGTCTGTAAAGAAGGCCCGACCACTGGGACAGAAGATTTAGCGGCCTTAGATTTCGAACTCGAACTGGAATTCATCATCAGAGACTGCTAGAGTGCAGCAACGTGTGAAC